GAGCAGTATTTCAGCGTGGATGCGGGGAAGGGCGAGCTGGTGGTGAATGACAGAATAGACAGAGAGGCTTTATGCGGACAAAGCGCCAGCTGTGTGTTACCTCTGCAGGTTGTTGTTGAAGACCCGCTACAACTTTTTCGAGTTGAAGTCGATATTCAAGACATTAATGATAATGCACCGAGATTTCCATCGAATGAAATTACATTGGAAATTGCAGAATCGACAGTTGTGGGGGTTCATTTTCCACTAGAAAGCGCAATAGATCCAGATGTTGGCAGTAATTCCCTGAAGTCATATACTCTTAGTAAAGACGAATGTTTTAGTATTAGAGTGAAAGAGGTTGCTGGTGGAAGGAAGGTCCCTGAATTGATTTTGGCAAAAGTTTTAGACAGAGAAAAGAAGGCTGTTCACAAGCTTCTTTTGACAGCTCTGGATGGAGGAAGCCCGGTAAGATCTGGGACTGCACAGATAACTATTCGTGTCCTTGACATCAACGATAATGTTCCCGCTTTCGAAAAAACGTCATATAAAGTATCTGTTAGTGAAAATGCTGTAGAAGGTGCGTTAATAGTACAAACAAAAGCGACAGACATGGATGATGGCCAAAACGGTGAGATTGAATACTCGTTTGGAGCACACACATCAGATGCAATGATGTCTATTTTCATTATCGATCATATATCTGGAACCATATTTCTTAAAGGAAAGTTAGATTTCGAAGCAAATGCAAATTATGAATTAGACATAAGTGCGAAAGATAAAGGCACTCCGAGAATGGAGGGGCATTGTACTGTTCATGTGGAAGTTATAGACGTCAATGACAACGCGCCAGAAATTATGCTTACCTCTCATCCTAAGCCGGTGCGAGAAGACTCCCCAAATGGAACAGTAGTGGCATTAATCAGTGCAAGAGATCTTGACTCTGGTGATAATGGTAAAGTAAGATTACAGCTCCCTAAAACCTCTCAGTTTGTTCTGAAACCTTCTTTTTCCCATAATTACGCACTGGTTACCAGCGGTCCTTTAGACCGAGAAAAAGTCTCGGAATATAATATAGAAATTACAGCCACTGATTCAGGCTCTCCTCCTCTGTCCAGTAAGAAAATCATACCTGTCACTGTCACTGATGTTAATGACAACCCTCCTGTATTCACTCAACGAAATTATAATGTGTATTTAAAAGAGAATGGAGTGCCAGGCTCTATCCTGTACTCAATATCAGCATCTGACCTGGATTTCGGTGAAAACGCAAAGGTCTCTTACTCTATACTGGACTCTAAAGTGCAGGACGTTTCTGTCTCAATATTGCGATAAGCTATTGTTATTATTTACATTATTAGTAGGAGTATTAATAGTAATAGTAGTAGCTTTACATCTATTATTTTATTTCAACAC